AGTCAGGTGGCGAGAGGGTGAGAAGAGATGGTGGACTTAGAAGAGGAAGAAGAAGAACTCTCTCTCTCTCTCTCTCTCTCTCTCTCTCTCTCTCTGTGTCCAGTACTAACCTGTGAAGTTGGCGCCTTGATGCAGGTACCTCGAAGATGGAGCTGGAGCGATGGCGCCACAGGTAAGTACCATTGGCGCCTTGATGCAGGTACCTCGAAGATGGAGCTGGAGCGATGGCGCCACAGGTAAGTACCACTGGCCTCCGCCAGTATCTCTCCGCACTCTACGATCTACCTCCTACCAGCGCCCAGCGCTGAAGACTACTGCTATGGCTATGGGCGCCCAGCGCCGAAGACTACAGCTAGCGCTAATACTACTGCCTAGCGCTGAAGACTACTGCAGCGCTCCTCCTGAGTGCTGCGGCCGAATCCTGAAGACTACCCGTGCCTACTGACAACTACCTACCCATGAAGTGCCTGGGAAGTCCTATGTACTACCACAGGTGCCTCCTGACTGCAGGCGAGCAGTCCAGGAGGCTGCTCTTGCCAATGCCGATCGGAGGCAGGGGCTGCCGCTGCAGCTCCTGCTCAAGGTCGTGGGAACAGGCTATTTCTGGCCTGTTCCTGAAACCCTGTTTCCGTGCCTGAGTCTTAGGGGCGGTTGAAACAATGAGGGCCTGAAAATGGCCCTCCGTTTCAGGCTGGAAAAACTCTGGGTCTGAAAGACCAAGAAATAGGCTGAAACGGAGTAGGGCCTGCAGGCCCTCGTTTTTCAGCTTTCAGGCTGAAACGACCGGGGCCTGTAAGCCCTAAGTTTTAGGCTTTTAGGCTGAATGTCCGGGACGGGCCCTGCAGGGCCCGTGTGGCTACGCAGTATGCCACACCGCCATAGCCTCGGCCTACGATGACGAGGAAGGAGAAGGGTGGCCATGGCTATGGTGGACCTCATGTTGTGCCTGCAGGGCAGTAGAAGTGGGATTTGGACATTGATTCTGGTTCAGCCATTCAACATTATTATTGTTATTTCTTGTTTGAATAAGAGGGGAGGAGATAAGGAGGAGGAGATTGGTTCGCGAAGAAGAAGAGCCTTGCCATTGGTCTATGTTGGAGTACATCGCCTTCTTCTTCTTTCTTACTTCTTCTTCTTCTTCTTCCTCTCTCTCTCCTCTCAAGTTCATTCATTTCTTTTTGCAATTGGATGGCATTGTACTTTCTGGTGAATGTATACTTCGAAATCGGCCAGGATCGTAACAGCTTAGGCTTTTACTGGAAAACGGGTCCAGTGTCCCATGCTTTGGGATTTCCCCAAGCTAATCCAAAAACCATAATTTTTAAAAATTGACCCCTCATTAGTACAACTGACAAAGAGGGGAGGGAAAGATTAAAATGCAGAAGACTAGAGGCTACTTACCCCTCCTGAAATCTAATTTATATCTTGCCTTCTAAAACCCTAACCCCCATCTTTCCTGTACCTGCTACGTGATCTCTGCTTCTCCTACGGGGACCCTCCTGCTGTGCCAAATCTTTATTTTAAAAACCCTAGAACCTCTCTGAGGTCTGGTCTATGCCCGCTCCTCTCAGCTGGAAGGCTGTCGGGTTGGCGTATTTGGCAAGAGCGGGGTTACCCATTCGGGGGCTGTAGAAATATTCCTTTGTTGCCCCTCACGTCTTGAGTTCCGTGCTTCCGTGGATGTTTCAAGCGCTGGCGAGGGTCTGTTCTGCGTCTGAGTGTGTTTGAGAGGCAGTCGATATGCAGTCGCAGTGGTGTTGTTGGCTCGTCAAGGTGCCGCAGGCAAGTCTGAGAGTATTACCCATTATGGTCCCCAGCTTACCATTGCCCAGCACGTCTCTTTTGAAGTACGTGTTGTCAATGATGTCTTGTTGTTTGGTGGAGTCTTCGCGGATATGTTTCCTGGTGCGGCGCCAGTCTGAATGATACTCGATGAGGAGGGTTTGTATGAGGCCTTCCCATGCTTCTGCCAGTGACAGGGACTGTTTAGCAATTGTTTGCTTGCGGCACTTCTTCCAAATTGCCCATAGTGTGAGGGGGCGAAGTCTCCGGTATAGTGTGCGTTGCCACCTCTCCTGCATTCGCGGTTCCTTGAGTCCCTGTGAGTGTGAGCACCGGGTCGTCTGGGAGGGGGACAGATGTGGCTGCTTCCCATAGGTTGGCTGATCTGGCCCTTAGTTGGGCCGCCGACTCACAGGTTAGTAAGCAGTGTGGGAGGTCTTCTGGAGTACCCTCTTCGCAGAGTGCACAAATTTCGTCGAAATCGATCCGGGCTGCTGGAGATCGTCATCTGCTGATCCATTGGTTGACTGGTAGTGCGTAGTAGTAGATCAGCCACTGCATGCTCCTCACCCTCGTGTTCCTGATGGGACAGCGGTACTTGCCAGGATATTGTGGTATGGCTTCCAATTCTCCCGGCGAGGTGCTTGTCCCAGCGTTGTGTGAGTATCTGCTGTGTGTTGAACTGGTCGTCTTGTCAGTTTGTAGCCCAGCCTGGTGGAGTAGTCCAGGATATTGGTATGACGAGCCACCATTGAGGCAGTGGAAGATGTTTTCCAGGCCCATCCTGCCAGGGCGAATTCCAGGTGGAGTACTTGCAAGGAAGAAAACGCGAATACTTACTCAATCGGTCCACCACCGTGAGGATGCCGTCGTGCCCGAGCCGGTCGCGGGGAAACGGACCGGTGACGTCCATGGCAATGGAGAGACCAGGTTCCTGTGGGATAGGCATCGGGCGTAACTCGCCGTAGGGATTGCGGCTGCGGGGCTTGCTGCGTCGGCAAACTTCGCAAGAGTCGTAATACTGAGTGACATTGGTAATGAGATCGGGCCATCGGAATCGCTGTCGAAGCCGTGCAATAGTGCGGTTGACTCCGAAATGGTCGGCGAGTCGCGAATCATGATACTCGCCGAGGAGGCGAGTCCGAAGACGACGGTCACGTGGGACACACAGTAAATCCTTGCCTCTCGAGTGGAGGAGCAAGTACCCGTCGACAATGCGGTAATGGCTGGCCGGCGGGTAATCCGAAGATAGCTGTGCATATAGCGTGGCGAAGTCCGGATCAGACTGGTATGCCCGGATGAAGTGTCGCTGAAGCTCCTCGTCGAATGCGAAGGCATGATGTGTCATAGCGCAAAGATCAGGTCTTCGTGAGAGTGCATCCGCTACGCGATTTGAGAGGCCGAGAAAATGTTTCGGTGTGAAGTCAAACTGGTCGATGAAGTACATCCATCGCCCGATCGTGCTGCTCTCCGTATCCTGCGTCTTGTAGTAGGTCAATGGATTGTTGTCTGTGACCCATGTGAACCTACGACGCCCAAGGAGGAAGTGCCGCCATCGCTTGAGAGCCATGACGAACGCGAGTAGCTCCTTCTTCCTTGCATCATCAAGTGAGTTGATGGGAGGCACTTTGTGGCTGAAATACTCCACAGGGTGCCAGTCGTCGCCGTCGTGCTGTTCCAAGACTACCCCAATACCGTAGCCGGAAGCGTCCGTAGTCACTCTCGTAGGCAGGGTGGGGTCGTAGATGCTAAGGACGGGTGCCATGAGCATAGCCGTCTTAAGTGCTTGGAATGACCGGCGTGCGTCGTCATCGAATACGAATGGCACCTTTGGCGACTATAACCTCGTCATAGGTGCAACAATCCTTGAGTATCCGGTGATGAATCGCTGATAGTAGCCCGCCAATCCCATGAATGAACGAACGTCCGTGGTGTTGGTGGGCTCGGGCCATACTTGTAGGGCCTCGATCTTGTCCGCAAGCGGACGGATGCCTTGCGGCGTCACATAATGTCCCAAGTACTCCAGCTCCTGTCGTGCGAATTCGCACTTGTCGCGGTTGGCCTTGTACTTGGCTTGTCGTAGCCGCTCCAAAACGGTGCGCAGGTGTTCCACATGCTCCTCCAAACTCCGTCTGTACACCAGGATGTCGTCGAGGTAGAAGTACGTATCGATCCAGCATGTGTCGGAACTCCGTTGTCATAGCCGCTTGGAAAGTGGCCGGGGCATTCGTAAGGCCAAATGGCATAACCAGCCATTCGAAATGCCCATATCGCGTCTTAAACGCGGTCTTGTAACGGTCCTCCTTGCGAATCTCGAGTTGGTGATATCCCGACTTGAGATCGAGCTTGGAGAAGAACTTGGCGCCGCCTAGTCGCTCGAGGAGATCATCGATGCGTGTGAGAGGGCCGACGTTTCTGATCGTCTGCGCGTTGAGCTTGCGATAATCGATGCACAACCGCAAATCCTTGTTCTTCTTCCGGACGAAGAGAACAGGAGCACCGTATGGCGATGAGCTAGGCCGAATCCAGCCTTTCTCCAGAAGGTCGTCGAGTTGTGCCCGAAGCACACTTAACTCTTCCTCGCTCATTCGGTAGATGCAACCGCGCGGAGGTACGGCCCCGTCCTCGAGGATAATCTCGTGGCGGATGGGTCGATCCGGTACTACTCCGTGCGGGCCTTCGAACACGTCGCTGTAGGCGTTGAGAAACTCGGTGATGCGTGGATCCGAAGGTGAGTCCGCCGATGAAGCGCCATGGGGCGGGAGGGCGTGGAGAAAACACACCCCCATCTCCTCGATGTCGTCTCTAATGATGGAAGCTCGCATGCTTGCGGCGAATACCATGTGGCAGCTGATCGAAGGATGAGGAAGAGGCACTGTGCATGGAACTAGTACTCCGTTCCGATCACGAATGTGAATGGTGCGGTGGAAGAAGTTCACCGGGTGATCCTCGCTTCGCAGCCATGACATGCCCGAGATCATGTCAAATTTGGTGTCCAGAATGTCAAAGGACACCGCCTCACTTGCGTGAGGGGCGAAGTACACTGGGACGTTGTCAATGCACCGGTCGATTGACTTGTGCGTGTGACCGTCCGCCAACGTGAATTGCGTAGGCTGGGACTTCCTCCGGACGTGTGGGCCAAGGCCGGCGCGCACCATGAAGTCCTGGCTGATGTAGTTGCGAGATGCTCCGCAATCGATCAAGGCGTTGCAGGTCGCCTCTCTGGTCTGAATGCGTACATATCGCAATGGTGCGTCGATGTCGTCATGCCGTTGCGTCTTGAACTCGCGGTCGATCTTCGCAATGTAAGCGTGAAGGTCGACAACCTCTACTCCGGCGTCCATCAACGGAGCTGGTCCTGCAGTGTGCAAGTAATCCCGCAGTTGTGCCATGAGCACATTGAAATGCGGTTTTGGCAATCGTCCGGTCGGGGGAACGGGCATCCACTGGAAGTCCGTGAACGTCAGTGGGTCGAGCACCTCAAGTCTTGACCACGATGATGAATCCCCGGCGATAGATGGCGGCGAAGCTGCCGAATCGGTTGTCGATGGTGATGAAACCGTGCATGCGGTAGATTGTTGCACGTGGAGCGGTTGGTCCAGCGGTGGAACCAAGTGGACAGCATAGTCCTCGTAAGTGTAACGAGAACCTGCGACATTCGCATCCTCCCCAGATGTGCAGGAGGCCGCTAGGAAGGCGACCGAATCTGGCGGAGTAGAAGGTGGAGTCGCCTCACCTTCCGCGGAACTCAGTTTCCCGAGTTGAGGCGGGGTCGCACATCCTCCTTGCCCTGATCCTGGCACAGGGAGGTCTTGGATGTTTGTTGTCGATGCATAGATTCTGTATTGTTCATCCTCGATCACTCGTACTCTTTTGAGTAGCTGGGGCTTGGCTGAGACCCTGGCTCGGACGACTTGGGAGACTGTGCTGACTGTGTGGCCTGGTTGTTCAATGTCGTGCATGGTCGACAGAGCCCACTGATCTGAGGGGCCTTCCCTTCTGACGTAGGACATCATCTTTTTTGGAGGGTTCTCCCAGGACGAGAGAAGGTTAACGGAGACCCTAATTTTCAGACCACTTGCCATGCCATTTATATGAAAACTAAACCCAGGACCAGGTTGCCCAGTCCCTTTGATACATGCCCAGTTGGGCAATGTATGTACATCCAAGGATCCGCAATGTGATGAAAAGGACTGAATGGACAATGCAATGTCAGTGCAACATCAACAGGCAATGTACACCCTGATACATACGAAATGGCACAAAAGTAGCGCAGCGGAGATTTGAAGATCAGTCCTGACCTGACCGGGACTGACACGACAACCCATCATTCATCACACATGTGAGAGGGAGAGGAGGGACTGCACACGAAGAAGAAAGGTCCATCCTTGCACACGCACATGGGGAGATAGATACCACGGATGAAAGATGGAGGGAGGAGAGAGACGACGATGGCGGCGAGGGAGAAGACCAAGATTTCACTAGCGGAGTCCAAAAGTAGTCCCTTGCCGATGTCCAATCAATGTCTGCCTCAACAATGTCGAATCAGATCCTGGGCACGATGCCCACGGTAACCTCTGCCTGTAACTGCTCTCTCTCTCATATCTGAATAAGAATAAGAAGAAGAAGAAGAAGGAGGAAGGAGGAAGGAGGAGGAAGGAGGAAGAAGGAGGAGAGATGGAGGGCGAGAAGGGAGAAGAAGATGTCGCACTTCTTGCTGCCTCACCTGCAGGTAACGGCCGCCGTACTAACTGTCGTGTTTGTCCTGTGCAGGTACCACGTGGAGACCCCAGCTATGGCGCCGGGTAAACTCTCCCACTACCTCCTGTGCTGCTCCGTCCAGCCTTGCAGCACAGCGCAAAATAGTGCAGCCTCCTGCAGCGCAGAGCAAAATAGCGCAGCCTCCAACCAGCAGCGTGTCACTCAAAAGTGAGCTACTCGAACTGTCCGTTGCCCAGCCTCTGCCCAGCTATATTTAGCGCTGGGCGAGGCTGGACCTACCTGGTGCTGGCCTCAAAACAGCCCAGCCGGTCTGGGTCCCTACCGGAAGTCCAGACTGTGCTGCTGATGCAGCAGGGCGCCAAAACGCACCTGGCCCTTTTGTAGGCCCTGCCTCCGGTACCCAGTCCCAAGGTCGTGCCTTGGGGACTGCAAGTCCAAAAGAACACCTGCACAGACAACGACGGTTCAGCAGGTAAGTAAATAAATAAATAAATAAATAAATGCTGCCTGTATTTGCCGTATGTGGCCTGGGGTCCGCCGTGGGCCTCCAGGGCGCACGTCTGATGGGCATGCGGCCTGGGGGGCCCTCAGCGACCGTCAGGCCCCTCAAATGGGGCCCATGTGCAGGTGCAGCATGTAACACCCTTTCTTCCACTCCGATGGTCTTTGGAGCAGTTGTAGCCACTCCGGGGAAATTGATGTGAGCATGTCGTTGAGGTTTGTTTGCAGGCCGTGGCACCCTTTGAGTGTCGCTCTGAGTTCTGTGAGTGTCTTCCATCTGTTGCATTGGTGGTTCCAGAGATGCTTGCTCTGCCACACTCCGTGTTCTTACCAGGTGATCCACTGGGTGTCCCGTGTCATCAGTGTCCATGGTTTCCCTGTCTGATTGTCACATACTGTAAAGGTGCAGACCAGAACAAGAACCGACCTCTCTCACAAAGTACAAGATAGCACAGCGGAAGGCTTAAATACCAATGATCCGAACAATCAATGTCGCAATGTAGCCCAAACATACATCATCATCATTACATGGTGTGAAGGGGCCTGGCGCTCACACAGGAAGAATGCGCCAGTCCCCAACCATACACAGACGAAGAAGAGGGGGGTTAAACGAAGAAGAGGGGAAGATGGGAATGTCGTCAACACCAAGTCTTCAGCACAGTTCCCAAATAATCCCTCGTCAAATGTCTGAATCCCAATGTCAAGTCTGGATCCAATGTCGTCAAGTCCCAAAGTCACCAATCTCTCTCTCTCTCGTAGTCTGCAGGTACTGAGAAGTTAGGTGGCGAGAGGGGGAGGAGGAGATGGTGGACTTAGAAGAGGAAGAAGAAGAACTCTCTCTCTCTCAGTCCAGTACTAACCTGTGAAGGTGGCGCCTTGTTGCAGGTACATCGAAGACGAAGCTGGAGCTATGGCGCCACAGGTAAGTCTCCCTGGCCTCCGCCAACCATCTCTCTCTGTCCACTACTACTCTAGCTCCTCATAGCGCCCAGCGCTGAAGACTACTGCTAACGCTACTACTACTACTGCAGCGCTCCTCCAGAGTGTTGCTGCCGAATACTGAAGACTGCCTCCTGCCTCCTGCCTCCTGCACGTGAAGTGCCTGGGAAGTTCCTAGGAACTACCCTGTGACTGTCTCCTGACTGCCTGCAGCCTGCAGGGCGGGCCAGTCTTATGTAGTGCTGGCCCGTCCAGGAGGCTGCTCTTGCCAATGCCAAAACGTGCCAGACCCTGGTGTTGAAGTTCAAACAAAGGTTGTCTTGAAAACAGGCCAAAAATGGCCTGTGCTAAAAACCCTGGTCTGGTGACTAAGTTTCAGGGCAGGTCGACTTTATGAGGGCCTGACAATGGCCCTCGTTTTCAGGCTTTTAGGCTGAAACGACACAGGGCTTGTAGGCCCTCGCTTTCAGGCTTTCAGGCTGAAACGACACAAGGCCTGTAGGCCCTCGTTTTCAGGCTTTCAGGCTGAAACGACACAGGGCCTGTAGGCCCTTGTTTTCAGGCTTTCCGGCTGAAAACGACACAGGGCCTGTAGGGCCCTTACTTTCCTTGTTTGGTCTGGCCTTGCAGGCCCGTGTGGATGCGCAGTATGCCACACTGATCCTTCACCCATTGGTTGCAAAAGATGGGCTGGCATAGTACTTCTTCTCTGTTCGCTGGTTCTCGAACCTTGGCTTGAAAAATCTCTCTCCATGCCTCGACGAGGTACAACCAGTAGTCCTCGTTGCTCCTCTGTTCTTGTTCCTGTTGGTGGTCGTGCTGGTGGGGCTCCTGTTGTCTGATTGTCCCGTGGCGGGCCGACCAAGTTTTGGCCATCAACCAAAAAAGTCCTTGCATGTTGGGGGGTGTATTGGCCACCGGCAGTTGCTTGAGCCGATACAGGGCCAGGGTAGTCCAGGGTAGGTCAGCTTGTGTGAGCAGCTTAACTGCCCACTTGGTCTGAAGTGCCTTCATCTGTGTGGCAGGATCCAATAGGCCTAGTCCCCCCCTTTTTTTTTATTTATTTTTATTTTTAACAGGGCCTTATGGTCCTAGCTCCTTCTATTCTGGGGAGCGTCAGTCTGGTTCCTATTCTACCGGCAAGTCCGAAAAATCCGAATATACATTACATTGAAACTCACACACGCTTCCTTCTGTTTGGCCGAAGGACCCCTGAACAGGATTGATTGCTCCACCTTGGTGGAGGATTGACTGTCAGCTTGCCATGTCCCTCTCTTTCCTCTCAGATCTGGAGGCCAGATCTGCCAAATAATGCTATGCCACCTAGAAAGAGCTCATCCTTTGGCTTGTGTCCTCCCCACTCTTCTGCCCTGCCCGTGAGGTGCGATAACCCCTGTCCCATTTCATCTGTCCCCCTTTTTTCAAATATCACTAAAAACCCTAAACCCTAAACCTCAACCTGCATACCATTACTCCAACATTGAACATTCATTTGGGTCAACCTTTTCCCCTTGTTCTGGTCTTTTGGTTCCATCCGTCCATCTCCATGCTATCCATCCTTAGTTGTAGTGGTTTAGGCTTGTCAAATTCCCGTGGAAGTCTGATCAGGTGGTGTTTTGCCTGTCCACAGTTGTCTGTTGTCGATAGCCTCTTCTTGATCTTGAATTGCACCAGTCTTTCCAGCAATTGCAGTCGTCTCGTGTTCAAGAAGTGATTGATCCAGCCACGGTTAACCGCTGTTGGAAGCTCCTTTCTGGCACTGAGTTATGCCACTCTTTCCAGCAGATACGGTCCTCTCATGTCCCTGCCATCTTGTCGTATTACAACCAATTCTTATAAATCCCCAGTCTCTCGTTCCTTGCCCCAGTCTTGCTGGAGGGTTGACTGTCGGCTTGTTGTACTGCCTTCTTTCCTCTTAGATCCGTTCTCTGGAGCTGCCAGATAAACCTTTAAAACGATACGGAGTTTACCACCCACTCAGACTAACCCTTGAAGCGCTTAACTTTAGATCATTACTCAATATCCCGTCTCTCTCTATTCCCCCTTGATTGATATTACGAATTAATGCCCAAACCCTGAGCCCTACACCCTCCTCCTGTTGTGATTTGCTGGAACCTCCGGGTCGTCTTGGCTTTTCTGCTCTAGTCCTCCCTTTATGTTTTTTGAATTTGATTTTTTTTGCCTGTTCTCCGTCAACCTGCTCTCATTCATCTCGGGTTTGTTGATGCCACTCGTCCCAATTCCGGTATACATATCTGTTGTTTCTGATGTGGCCGCAGCGAGTCTGTTTGTCCCCAGGAAAAAGCCAGACGGAGATGAGTAAGCCCTTCACATCTGAGGAGGAGTGAAACTTTGTCTGGTTGGATGGCCGAAGTAGGAACCTCAAAGAGATGAAGGGAGTCCTCAATAGCCAAGTAGCAGTAGAAGAGTGGTACTTGGGCGGTACAGGAGAGCGGGGAAGCTGTGTAGGGCAATGGTAGCTGGAAAGAAGGCACAACTCTACACCCAGAGGAAGTAGGTTCATATGTGGCCCACCATATGTCTTTAGTTGGATGGCCACAGTGGGAACCTTCGTAGAGACCAAGGGAGGCCCCAACCGCCAACTAGGAGTAACAGCATCTTACTTGGGATGTGCAGGAGAGACTCAGGAGAGTGGGGAAGTTGCGGTGGGGACCAGTAGCTGGAAAGAAGGTGCAACTCTATGCCCAAAGGAAACAGGGGCATATCTGGCCACCCATATGTCTATAGTGACACCACTTTCTGGAGAAGTGGCCTTACAAGAAAGGTCTAGATCTCGCAGAGGAGGAAGGCAACACTAATCATGAGGAAGGAGACGTTGTAATTGCAAAGGACAAGGGAACAGAGGTG